CAAACCTCCTCGTTTTAGTCGAGACACGGCTTCCAAGAACCAGCCACGAGGAGCATCTATCTGTCCATAGCAGGGCTTCAACAGGAGCATGCGAGTGTTCTCATCGCCGCCCAGCAGTGACAGTGCCTCAGCCGGTAGCTTCACCCAGAGCTTGCGGTCTTGTTCGCGACCTTGCAAGAAGGCCGTGCTGACATCGGCGGTCCATGTAGACCAACCCATAGTTGCAGCCAGGGAGAGCACCATAGAGCGGGACAACCTCGTGGTCGTAGGGCTGGAGGTCTCAATCTTCCCGGCAAGAGCGTCCGGGTCGGCAAAGCCCCGCACGATGAGACGTGCTTTGGCACGTGGAGTGCCATCGGGGTTCCTGGACCATTTGAGCAAGATCCTGGAAGACAGTGTTCGGACCGGATCAGCCTCCTTCACAGTCTGGAAGGTCCACACGTGGTGGTCAAAGAAGCTCTTCAACTCCTTGATCTTTGCCTCTTTGAACATGGCTCTCTCATGAGGCCCCAGGAGGCGCTCGTTGACATCGGCCTTGTTCTTCTTGAACTTCTTCATCTTTGCAGCCTTCTGTTCTTTTCCTTGTTGTTTGGCACTGGTGAAGGCTTGATGAGAGCCGCTGTACATAGCCAGTTCCTTCCGGGTCTCTCCATTGATCTGGTAGATCGTGGCGCCAGTCCAGGACGTAGAGACATCAGGAGGTGAGGTACTGTCAGTGCCATCATCCGTGTAGAGTCTTCCTTTTCCATTGGCTCCATGGACCAAGGTCACTCGGATCTTGTCTAATTTGTCGACGGTCACGGGACAGTCCTGCGGCAGCTGACGCAGTGGTAATCGACCCCTGCGTGGCACCACATGATGTCGAATCAGGCAACCGGCTCGCACCTCCCAGTAATCAGTGCTGCGATCTGTGAGTTGCAGAAACCCCTGCTCATCAACACGCCAACCACTTGGAAGCAGGGTGGTGTCAATGTCATCAATGTAGAAGACCTGACCAGTGAGAGCATCATCGGTGCTTGAGGTTGGTCTGGATGTAGCATAGGGTTCCACTGCTTCAGCGGTGCGATGCCGTACAGGTGCAAAACTCAAAGTCTCTTGCTTGTTAATGCGAGCACGTCGTTCCTCAAATGTCTCTGGATGAGATGGTGCCTCATAGAGTGTTGCCGTTCGCGGATCCAGCGGTGGTAATGCATGAGGTGTCTCAGCCGTGGATCGTGCTGGAGGTTCCTCGCTAGGTTCGGAGAGCGAAGCCAGAGAGCTCGGCACGCGAGGAAGCCCGACATCTGCTGTGGCGTGCGGTTGTGTATCTGCCGTTGCCGTGTCTGCTGCTGCCGGTACGACTGCTGCTGCCGCTGTTGGTGTGGCTGCCGCTGACGGAGGAGATGAGGGAATGTATTCTTCAACACTCACGTCGGGCATTGCAGTAGACACAGGGTTTGGTGGCAACAACCGGGGTCTCTGTCGAGGTGGTGACATCTCGTGATCAGAGTCGTCCATCAACTCACCATTAGTGGACTGAGCATGTTCGTCCACTTCCACATCCATGAGCTCTTGGCGGTTCAGGCGATGTAGATCATAGAACCTTGTGACGCCTCTGGATTTGAGAGCGCGCACAGTGTTGAGGGCCTTCTGGACGTCATCGAGGATGTGTCCGGTGTTCTTGACATCAGCTCGGATGTGGTGAGGGGCACAGCGGATCAGCTGGGACTTGTAGGCCAGCCAGTAGACGCTGACTCTTTGATCATCACCCTCCTTCTTGTACTCCTTCATGACGACGTGAGCTTGGCCAAGCCATCTGATCTTTACCAGGTCGGGCTGCTTGGCATCACGCCAAAACCATACTTGTTGACCCATCTGGTACTCTGAGTTCAGGCCTTTGTATTTTGCTCCAAGAGCACGTCGAAGACGGCGGTCAGCATCAGCATCAACCAAAGCCTTTTGAGCTGCAGCCCGTTTGTTGAGGGTCTCCTCGAAGCTCGGGTGTCCACCAACATGTGATGCTCTGAAGTTGGAGGTGGATAGCAAACTGCCCGCCAGTTCAGGTTGATACCCCAGCACCCATTGCGACGGCGAGAAACCAGCAACGCTTGGAGCGCTGTTCAGCTGAGGAATGCAATAGGTCAGTGCTTCACGGATACCGTCGGCATGATCGAGGTCGTCGAGGTAGATCTCAACGGCTTTGCGAAGCACTGCATGTCGCGTTTCGACGATGGCCAGGCGTTCATGAGCTTCTCCGGGTGCCGCAATGTGTTCAACACCGTGGATGCTTGTCCAGTTTTTGAAGTCATGTCCAAGCCAGGCTCGCCCTTCATCAGTGACCAGTTGTTGTGGGGGCCCGAAGTGGGCGATCCAACCTCGTTCAAGGGCCTTGATCAGCTCGGTGGATTGCTCGGACTTGACCAGTCGGGCGACCGTGTACCGAGTAGCAGTGTCAACCACACTCAGGATGGCATACTTGACGGTGCCACGGCGAAGCCAGAAGATGTCCGCCTGAAGCTGCTGATTAAAGGTCGTCGACTGTGGCAGTGAAGCCGGAGCGGCCTCTGCAGGCTTCTTGTACTTGGCGCAGGCCGCACACACATAGGATTGAGCCGCCTTCAGGACTTCTTCGGACGCTCCCCGCGTCTGCAGCAGTTCGGTGAGCTCCTTGGTCGATGGATGGCCCAAGTTGCGGTGAAGCTTCTGTACGATGCGAATCGCCTGTTGCCGAGTGTCGGCCCGAAGCTTGACCAAGGTGGAGGTCACTGTCCGCTGTTCATTGGAGGCATAGCCAGCTTCCCAGAGCTGAGGTGGTTCATCAAGAAGAATGGCGGACGCCAAAGTAGAAGCCAGTGCTGGTTGATAGTCCTCCAAATAGCGAGTTCGGGGTCCATAGCCGTAGGCATTCCCTTCAAGGGCACAATGATCGTGATCCCCTCGGCGTGTGAGCGTCATGGCATTCTGCATGGCCTTCTTGGACGTCAAGAGAGTTATGCTCTTCTTCACAGGGCGCCATTGGTGGTCCTCATCCAAGCAACGAAGAGCTCGGGTTGACCAAGAGGGAGCATGCTTAGGCTGTTCAATGTGTCCATGGCGTCCTCCGGAGATCTGATTCACGTAGACCTTGCGGACAAAGACCAGGTGTCGGTCATGATGGTGCTGTCTGGCGGCAATCAATGCTTCTTGTTGATGTGCAGTTCGACGAGCCAGTGTTTGCATACGGCTCCAAAGCTTGCACTCTGGTGCCAGCAGCACTTCATCTGGGAGTTCCTCCTCTTGAAGACGAAGAAATTCAGCTTGATGTGCAAGAAGTTCAAAGTTCCAGCCGGTTTCGAGACCGAAGCGTCTCACGGACATGCCCAAGGATTCTGCCACCTGAGAAGTGCGGGCAGAACCGCAGTACACTTCCCACAGGACCCTTTTCTGATCTTCTTCTCGACCATGTAGTTGTCGGGTCAGGTATAGGCGGACATGTCATTAAGGTGAGTGCGAAGCTGGATGTGTGGAGTGAATGCTGCCTCAAGGTGTTGGACAGCTGTTCCTCCTTGAGCTCATCTTCCTTCAAGGTGGAGAGGACAGCAAAACCATGTTCCGCCTGTTCGAAGTCAGTGAGGCGGAAGCCATCCACTTGCTCCATGTCGGCGTCGGCCGTCTTGAGGCTGAAGTCGGGGTTCTGTGGGTCGTACTGGATGAAGTCATGATCAGCCGTCAGTGACAAAAGATATTCACCTTGTCGGCCGAGAGTAGTCCTCCTGCCAGCCAGAGGAGCCGATGCAAATGCGTCGCATGGCGAAGTCCATAGTCATGCCCAAAGCCTCGATGATGGGGCGTCCACAAAGCATGGGAGTGTTGCCCGGCAGGAGAAACATCTGGATGGTGCCATAACGCCCGTCCGGGAACACCGGAAGGTGTACGGACCACGTAGACCAAGACGCTGCGTCGCCCCCAAACTGGAAGCGTCGCTTCCCTTTTGTCAAGGTGATCTGGTCGAGCGGGAAGCCACAGTCTTGGCGGAGGTGTTGAAGGTACCTCCGAAATGGTCCATAGCCTAGAAGGCCGAAGCTCCGGGATCCAGCATCACACACTCCGGTCGTTCAGCTCCCGTGTGGTCCTGGAAGATGATCATGGCGTCCTCGGAGGTCGTCATGTGTGCCATGCCTTCGGTAGGAGCTGGTCGTTTGGTGCCACTGGACTTTGGTGAAGAGTTCTGCGGACAGTTGGCCGCCCAGTGTCCCTGTTGACCACAGCGCAAGCACGTCATGTTGGCACGTGCGCGACCCTTAGGATCACTTTTGCCTCCGGTGGATGGAGGGTAGCGGATGGTGTTGCTCTTGTTCTTGCCCTTGGACTTTCCACCTTTGCCCTTCCCCTTGCGCTGCCAGGATGTTGGACTGCTGGTTGACGATGAGGCCGGAGCACCAACTGGCATGGGGGCTTGTTGATCGGCCAACGCCACAACCGGCAGGAATCCACGAGACGCCATTCCCGGTAGTCAGCGGGTTGGCCGGTGAAGATCGGCGCGTAGGAGTCTCTAAGGTCGAGGTATCCGGAGTCCTCCTTGGGTGTAGTCATCGAGCTGGAAGCAGGTTGAGCGGTCTGTGGCTTCTTCTGTTGCTGCCTTCTTTGATGCGACATCCACCGAGGCGGTGAGTGCCACAAGGATCCTCCCCTCAGGGTCTTCAGCCAGGTGCTCCACCAACAGGATCCGAAAGAAACCGGCAGCGGGTGGCCACCAAAGACCTTGTCCCTAGCCTTCTGCTCGGCGGTGCGAAGTGCGCAGCTGGAGCCCTCCCCCAAATCGGGTTTGGGCTCCGCTACCAATGCAAAGAAACCAGTAGTAGACGAAGCCCACTGGAGTAGGGTGTAAAGACACCACAAGCGAATTGGTGGCGACGCGAGTCGCCGCGGCCGCATGCCTCTTTTTGGCGCTTGAGCCCTCCCTGTCGGAAGGGGTGTTCTAAGCTCAGGACCGTTTCCACCTAAAATGCACAGCGTGCGTTTCACAACAGTGTTGAACCCAGGTCTGTTGCAAGAACACCTGTCACAGCAACCTACTCCGTACTTTTCCGGGGAAGGTGCTGAGGGTTTTCCAGCTCGCTATTGCGTTGGTGGCCATCGCTCTTAGGTTGGAGGCCATCACTATTAGAAACAAAGAAGAACGAAAAGATAGTAAAGTCCAGTCTAATAGATTTGGCACTTAGGTTGGAGGCCATCGCTGCCGCTAGTAGAAACAAAGAACAAAGAAAAGCGAATAAGGGCTAGTCTAATATACTTTGCAATTAGGTTGGAGGCCATTGCTGCCAGGCCAAGACCTGGCGTGGCGTGCGCCATGGCCTGTCACCGCCGGAGGGTCTGAAGGCGCAGAGGATGGGATCGGCTGTGGTGGCTGCCCTGCAGTTGTTGTATGACCAGGGCTTGGTGCATGGTGACTTGGACAATTGAAGCACCTTGCGAAACAGCACAGTTGTTCAATGTTGTTCACCTGGAAATTGCTTTGGGGAAAGACTGCTTAGTGCTTTTCCACGAGCTACAGCTTCAGTTTGTACAACTCTTTCGGCGGTCGGGAACTGGGGTCAATGGCGGCCTGGGCGCGGCGTCTTGGTGTCGCAGTTGATTGGTCGTTGTCTCTGTATTGCAGCTGTTTTGATGGTGTTGTGATGGTGCGCTTGGATTTTTTGGATATATAGTAGATAGTAGATTGGGTATGTTTGGAGAGCGCAACGAGTTGCACGACTCTTTGCCTACGACTTGCTTTCCTAAGGTGACCTACACCTCAACAACATTGGCGTGAGACTCTCCTGTGATGGCCCCGTGTTTGCTTTCCCACGCTCGTTGAGAAGAGGTATGCTGTTTAATATCAGCTTAATGCAACTCATTCTTGGTCGAGTCAACCAGCCATTTCATGCCATTTCGATTGAAAAGACAACGGGCGATTCTGAGGAAGGACTTGGACTCAAAGCCAACTGCAACTTGACTGCAGGGCGTTGCTGGGCTGTCCTTTTGCTGGTACTTTGGACACTGGACCCGCTGGACCCGCTGGACCTAGGTTCAGCTGATTGACTTTGGGCGCTCTGCTAGCAAGGCCAGGTGGGCTAGAAATATAGATCGCGCCAATGGTGATTATGAGTGCATGAATTCATTAGGGGCAACTTTTTGCTGCCGACTTTGATTTGAGTAAGGCCTTTGATCACAGGATGACTGCTGGCCGGGCGGAGGGGTCCGGGTGTGTTGGTTCACTCCACAAGCACAAAGACATCGAAATGGCTGCTGAAGCCTGGAGACAATACCCGTTGTTCGCTGCATCCCAACTTGATGCAGAACCAGGTTGGCTCTGGCAAATTGCTCTTATAGCCAGTCTCTTAGCCTCTAAGCCTGCAGGCAGCGTGTGAAGGAAAGCCTTGTCAAGAAGCCTTTCGTGCAGGTCATGCATCTTGGCTGAACGAACGTGGCAGGCGAACGTGCAGCTGACTGTGGTTCTTAGGGCACCCAGAAGTATTGTGCATTTGTGAAACAAAGCGGAACACATAGAGCTTTTGGGTTCCCTGGCTCTTTTGTGGTGCGTATTGCAGGCTTGAATGCTTGAGTTGCTTGATTGGTTGTTGAGATTTGCGTGGGCCTTTTTGGTGTGGCCACATCAGCTTCGGAAGTCCCACCACCCCTACTCTCCACCATCGGTGTTTTGGTTCCGTGCAATTCTGGCAGAACTAATAAACTTCTGGCGCGGAAAAAAGGTTGGGCTTGCTCAGCGCTTTGCACAGATTGCTGGTGTAAGCAGAGGTGGTGCAAGCAGAGATATTGAAAAGCACAAAGGCCAGAGTGAACTCTACAACTTGCACAACTGTAACTGAAGTTGAGAAATCCATAGAAATCCAAACAAGCATGACAAGCGCAGATCAATTCATGCAACACACGAAAAAACAATGAGATCAAACAGATTTAAACGCACGAAGAACCCTGCTACAAATTGCTGCCAGTATATATTTAGTGTGCAACCGGGAAACCACATGTTTCTACAAACAATTGCGACAACCAGGAACACAGTAAGGGGCAGCATTTTGAAACCAGTGTTTGTGCACCCCGACACTACGGTAGATACGGTAGCAAGTTGTTTGGATCAAATTGCACCAAACCACTCAGGAGTACGATGTGTGCAGGTTCATCCGTGAGCTTTGCCAAGCATTTGATGAGCTGCTTGGCTGGTGAAGACTTCTGCTTTTGATCGAGGGCTTTTCAC